AGAAACCGAATAATATAATTTTGATTCAATTTTTTCATTTCCATTACAAGGCCTTCAGCGTCACCTGCTTCCAGGGTCGTGGTCGAGTGCGCAGTGAAGCTATTTCAGTCGCCCCTCAATACACTTACTTACGTCATTGTCAGATTTACAGTTAATTACTTGACTGTTATTGTAAATTAATGTATTTTATTGTATGAAGAATATTTATTGCATGTAAATGTCATATTTTTCACATTTATTTGTGTCAAAAAAAGTTTGTGGCTAGGTGATTGTTTAACAATGTTACTATCCATTCTTCAAGTCACTATTTTTTTGAACCAATAAATAACAATTTGCTTTATGAAAATTAATGCATTAATGATGTATCTAATCTTTACCTTACAAGTATCTATCATCTTTATGATAGATACTCCATTACCTTTAGCACATAATTTTTTGTACCTATTATTTATATTATTTGTATACCCGTTTATGCTTGTAAATTTAATTGACGGTGCTAATTAATTTTTGATGTAATCTCTCTTTTCCAACCCTGCCCTCGCTTCCTTTGAGTCTTCAACGTTCTATTTTAGCTGAGACTGGTAAATAGAGGAGTGAAATGTCTTCGCTTCGCTGCTCCGAGAAATTCCGAATATTCTTGTAAATAGAATCTTGAGCCAAGAAGACGTTTGGGAGAAAATTCTTCATCATGGATGTTTAAATGATGAATGGACTTCTCTAGAACAAGTACATCCTCGAGGTACTTCTCGAATCTTACGTGGAAACAACGGAAAGAAATTTTTCATTAAATTTGCATTCAATATGGTAGATACTGCCCGAAGCTTAGTGCTGCTCACTGCACTGTACAACATAGCACAGTACAGTGCAGTGCTGCTCATTGCACAATTCTGTAATGATTCTATTTAAATAGAATTATTGTAATAATTCTATTTATCTATTATTCATAATTCTGTAATAATTATATTATAATTCTGTAATAATATTTATTTTTAATATAATTCTAATTATATTATAATAATTCTATTATAATAATATTATTATAGTATAGCGTAGTGCAGTACAGCACAATGATGTAATGTATATCACGGTAGTAGGCTAAGGCAACAATAGATATTAAATGGCACAGCTCAGTGGTTCATTTACCTTGTTATCGGTATCTTATCACATCTCTAGAGCATTGGCATGTTACGTATTGCAGGCAAGCCTCGCTATGTGCAGTGTTGCACGACCTCAGCTCTGTGCGGTGTTTAAAGTACTCAGCTCGGTGCAGAGCTTTAGCTCTGCGATGTTAGTGAAATTTTATTATTTTCCTGTGCTTAGGGCAGAGTTAAAACTCTGGGAAGATCGTCGAGCTCTCGAGTGTTCTTGTGGTCGGTGCAGATCAATGCAGATCGTGTTGAATTGAAGTTATGATTAAGTAGTGAAGATCTATGGTGTTTGTTTTCGCGGTGTAGAGCCGGGAAGCTCTCGGTAGATCGTGGAGATCTATCATCAGTATTGTGTTCCTTTGTTCGGTGCAGAGTTGAAGCTCTGGTAAGGTCTGTAGTATTTTACTCGATGCCAAGGTTGCTCTAGAATATCGATACCTGTTTAGTTCTCTGCACGTCCATGAGTTGCAGCTTTAGAAAGATCGATTTTTTTCGTATTACGTGCTACGAATGAAGTATGAACTGTAATGACATTATCACATGCTTCGTCAGTGAGACAAATGACTCTCATGCTACGTCAGTCACACTCTACTGTGTACACCATACGAAGGCGATCCGAAGAATGCAAAAGATATACCTACCTACTATTGTGTCCATCTGTCATCTGCATTTTTAAATTGCATGTTCTGAATTTTGTGAACTGTATTTATCTTTGTTGCGTTAACATATGTTTGTGTCACCGATGGAATAGATTTGTATTTGTGCTCGATTTCTAATAAGAGTATACGAAAGCTTCCAAGTATCTATTTTTGATCCTCTCTTTATAATAGATGACAAGAGATTTATCTATGCTGGAAAAATGCTAAAGCAAAACTCAGAAACCAGATTTTTTGGCCGTTCCCGACTCTAGATCTAACTTGATCCTTCTAAGTAAAGGATCTTTACGTACTAACGGAGGCTTTTCCGAACTTCTTTCTGGTATCTTTGTCGCTCGCATTCGTATCCATTAGGACGGTGGAATATTTGGTTTGATTGCGTTGTGTTACGATGCGTTAAGTCGTATATATATATTCCTGTTCCACGTTATCGTTGTAGGGAAATGATCTTGAAATTTTTCGTGAATGCAAATACAATGCAAATACAAGATGAAGCAAGGTTCGGCAAAATTGATGACATGTTAAACATATTTGGACGCGAAAAATGCCTCACACGAATGTTTGAACTATTCGCATTAATGTCTAGATTATGAATCGTGAACCTGATATTAGACGAACTTGAAATCTCTCCCTTCAGAACTTTTTAAGACTCGCGTTTGTTTGCTGCCGTGTTGTGAGTAACTGCAACTGTTTGTCTACGTTAAAAAAAAAAGAGATCTAATTTTTCTTTCCGTGATGAAAATTACGCATATTCTTGCTTGCAAATTAAAATTTACTTCTCTATTTTTATTTGAATTTATCATGACCAAACATGCTTGTTCTAATGCTCTTATAGTTAAGGTTTTGTTCGCATGCGCAATCGGCTAATGGACATTTTAATTTAAAAATTACCTATTCATGAGACACTCGTATGTTCAATTTTATTTCAGACTTGGAATAACATTATTACGAAGAATAAACGAATACTGAAACGTACACCATCAATTCTCATAGATTTTCTGAATTCCTGCTTTTTATTTATTCTAACTTACATTATGTATGACACATACCTCCACTAATAACTCGTCTGCCATGAATGTGTTGACGTTCTCATCATGGCGACGAGAAACAACAATCCAGAACTAACAACGAGGGACAGGCACCAGACATCGTCCAGGTGACTGTTTTGCATAGACTACACTTTATATTGGCGTCAATGGCTCGTTGAAGCTCAACTATTTTTAGCGCATTTTCTCCTTTATGGAAAAAATGCACTATTGTGCTCGCCATGTCCGTCTGTCTGTCTGTCTGTCTCTGTCTGTCCGTCCGTGACCACGTTTTCGTCGACGAGAAAAATGCGCTCTCTGTCACTCACTGCAGTGAGTACTGAGTTATATTTTTTCAAGATTTGTCATTTTGAATTCCCCTTGCTTTCGTAAACGCGTATCTTGAATGCAGTCGAAGTGAATTTTCATACCTCCGAAAACTCGAGCTCTCAATGCAGCTAGTCATAGCGAATGCCCGGTATAACAATTACAGTATTGGACTTTGCCTGCGCGCATGCCTGCACCAAAGCTGAAAATAGTTACCGATAGAAGTTTCTTTTAATTTTGTAGCACACAATTCGTGTTACCTTCATGTCTCGAGGCACTAATTAAGGCTTGTGCTTCCAAATATATACGAGTTCGTAACTCCGTCATTCTCTCGCTGGAGTCAAACGAGAGGTCGCGACTCGTTCCATCAGCCAAACGAGTGTTCGGCCGCTACGTGTACTTAGGTCGCATTAGCTCTACTTAACACTTTCGTCTCGGATACATTTACCGTCGTCAATGCTATTCATACCTAGTAGTTTGGAACCGAGAAGTCCCGTCAGTCACCAAAGGCTTAAGCGAGTTTTGACAGTACGGCATCTGAAGTGTTTCTCGTAGTGAAGTGCTGCGGCGTAGACCATAGGCTCACAGGACGAGTGCTTCTGTGATGTCGGCACCACACTAAAGAGCCGCTCTTGTGATGCAGGCTCACAGGACAAGTGCTTCTGTGATGTCGACACCACACTAAAGAGCCGCTCTTATGATGCAGGCTCACAGGACGAGTGCTTCTGTGATGGCGGCACCACACTAAAGAGCCGCTTTTGTGATGCAGGCTCAGAGGACAAGTGCTTCTGTGATGTCGGCACCACACTAAAGAGCCGCTCTTGTGATGCAGGCTCACAGAACAAGTGATGGCACCACACTCGACTCTAACGAGCTACTCTTGTGATGCTTTAACGGCTAATTAGCGAAGCCACGGCGCACTTAATCCATGGCCAGTCTAGCCTGATGACACAGCAACGCTACAAATTAGTAAAATATTGTTGTTTTGAACGCACGCACTTGTGTCTTTATTATTCGTATTCGATATTTCGACGATTTGTTGACTGAAAAGAACTGATGTCATGTATATTTAAATAACTAAGCTTGTTACTTACATATTTATAGAATAAACTAATTGATGAAGGTACTGCTTAAATGGTCATTATGCACAAGGATTGAAAAATATTTCGGACGCTGGTATCTAATTTCTTTTTTTTTAATTTAGAGATAAAAACATTGGTTACAACGAAACTGATTATTTTAAGGTGTTTTGGGAACGAATAATTTAAAGTTTGGATGATGTTGAGTAAAATTACGACGGTTTCCGCGAGTTCCTCAAATGATTGCAGTGATAGCCAGCGAAAAAACGCTCACAAATCCTGCCACTTGTCAGCAGTGCAGATAACGTCCTGGGTCCTCATCGCCCGGATCGTTTGTTATTGATGATCATGAATCAGTTTTTTAAGTTTGATTTCCAGACGTTTTGCTTGAATACTTGTCGATCTAAACTTACCGATTCGTTCATCTTTTACTGTTTAGCTTCATTATTTTAATAGTTGGAATATATCTTTGGACTGCAGCACAATTTTGAACGCCATCTGTTTTGCTCTCGAATGGACGACATAACTTAATTTTGTTTAATTTAAATAGTGACTTTCCGAAGTTTTAAATTCTGTTAATATATTTTTGATTCGGGAATAATTTTGATTTTAAATGAAAGGCTCGAGAATGTCGATAACTAAACCATTTTGTTTGAACATCTGTTACTTATTTCGTAAATACTCCGCTGCTTTGGCTGTCAAGGTTTGTGTGCTTCAAGATTTTCATCATTCGTAATTTATGTTCGGAACTTCTTTTGCCATCAGATATCTGAGGCCATCAGTGAGGCCCATGACCGCCGCCAGCAGCGTGAGGCCCGCAGGAGAGGCACCTCAGGGCTGCCGAGGCCCCGTCAGCTGCTCCCCCTCAGGAGGGGACGATTGTACCCAGGAAAATTTCCAGCGACTTCGCGTGGGGAAGAAGGAAGAACTGCTCGAGGACGATGAGGAGGACGAGGCTTACGGGGAGGAGGTTGAGGAAGAGAAAGATGGGCAGGAGGAGGTATTGATCGTAGGACAACAGCAGCAGCACCAGCAGCAGCAGCAGCAGCAAGGACCTCAGCAGCAGCTGGTCGGTAGTGTTGGTCGGGGCCGTGCGACAGAAGGAAGGCCCCACGACCATGACTCGTGTGACGTGAACCCCCCCGATGACGATGCCGGTCGTGTGCAATGTAGTGACGTGATGACCAGTATGATGAAGACGGCTGGAGTTCTCATCACTTCGGAATGTCCCAGACATTCTTCGTCCTCCGGCTCTTCCTCGTTGTCTAGGACCGAGGAATACATTTCCTCTTCTTCATCTTCATCTTTATCCAGAAGCGACGAGTGTCCCTGGCATTCGTCCTCCGCCGTGTCGAGAATTGAAGAATTTAACGACGAATGCCCCCGTCATTCCTCTTTAGGCTCTAGAAATGAGGAGTATTCCTCATCATCTTCATCCCTACCCCAAGGAACGACTCGGTCTTCCTCTAGTTCCTCAGGATCCATGGCGCCGCCTCTGCGCTCTGCGCTGAAGCCACAAGGCAGCCACCGCAGCAAGGGGCATCACCACCGCGTGAGCTTCAACGAGGCCAGGAACCAGTTCAGGGAGCCTGATTATGTGATCCTCTTCCAAGGGGAAGGTGGGGAACCTCAACTTGTGTCCATCAGGTCCTTAGAACTTGGGGACCTCCCACCACCACCTCCTCCCGTGTCTGACGCCCTGCCGTTGTCACCTCCTGATGGGTACAAGGACTGTTTCAACAGAGCCCTGCGACACCTGTTGCCTGATGATGCGGGTGAGAACTCGTCATCTGTTTCTGCAGGTACTCTTTTTATGATCTGTTATTAAATGAATTTTTTTAGTAACTTTTAAGCGCAATCTTCCGATCTACAGTACGGTATATCATTTCGGTTATCGTTTTTTGATCGAATTCCCGTGACTTTCTTCCTAATTCTTGTAATTTAGCGTCACGTCTTCTAGTTACATCATTTTACGCTGAGTTATTTTTGGAAGCATATTATTTTCTTCCTTTAAATTTTTTTTAATATCAATCAGAATTTTTTTTCGTTCTTGTCAACTTTGAAAATTCTGTTTATACCGGATTCTTTCGTTACGTACTTTTGAGTGCTTCTTGAATCGGATTGTTTCACTGACTTCCTCGTTAGCAGTCCGGGCTTGCGTGCGCCCTCAATGACGTGCAATTAGGACGTGAGGTCTTCATTGTTTGACACGTCATCGCTTCGCTCGAAACTCCTTCACGTATACGTATATAGTTCACGTTTGGATTGAGCTTTAAACATCCGTCTCTTCTTGAATATGTTAGAATTTTTTCCATACCTGATCATTTGAATTGCACTTTGATACCTGTAACTTTTATATATAATTTTTTTAATTTAGTTTGTCTATAACTATTCACACGGCATCCGTTCAACTTAACCGCCGTTTAGACCAAAATAATCATTCTTGATCATTTTTCGCCTTTTACGCTTTCGGTTAACCTCCGTGCTTCCTTCCTACGATGTCTCCTGATAAACTCCACAGATTATAAATGTTCGCTGGCATATATCATATTATCATATAGGTGCGCTATCAGTCAAAGATTGCATGGCTATCAGTGCACACTGATGCGCTTGTTATCAGTGATTGCTTCAGCGCACACCAAGTGCAGGCTGCGTGTTCTATCATGGAATTGTTACGCGTACTTTGCGGTCATCGTGCAGAGATCTTATTAATGCAGCAGCACGACTGAACACTAATATTACTAATAAATATCTAATCTAATAATATAAATATTACTAATAAATAACTCATAATAGGTGCATGTTGGCGTGATGCGATATTTTCATGAAAATATTTACCAGTCTTCAAAAAAGTGTCAATATCAATGCAAATTTCAGCAGGGATTACGATAATAAATATTACGGATTACGATAACATACACATTTGACTCATTGAACGTTTAGGGGCTCAATTGTTATCAATTTTAATAACGTACGTCAGATTAACCATAAAAATCCTGGTTTGAATTGTTTATATCTTTTCCGCTGTTACGTTTTATTCCATGTCAAGTAATTACCGGAACTGAATTACCTGTTGTTAATGAGGCTCAGTTCCTTATCATTCAAGCGATATAACGTTTCTTAATTTATTCCTGGACGTTATCTGGTCAGTTGAGCTTAACTATAACTGAAAACTATTGCAGTGCATTGACTGAGTGAGTCTGTAAATTTGATGGGATATTTAGCTATGTGTATTTTATAGTTATGCATCCAATGGTATTCGAGGTTTCGGCCGCAACGAAAGTTCACTAGACGTTATAGAGGTGAATGATTTTGCAATTTATATTAGTAGTGTCATTATTGTATTAGGTCCATTATGCTAAATGAAGGACCTCATTGTTATTAGCTTTATTATTATTATTATTTCCAGCTAGTGGTCATTTTCTTATTGAAGACTTGCAGCTGAACACAGGACAGCCATTTGCTTCAAATTCACAAAATTGTTTCTTGTAAAAAAATTATTCTTTTGGCAAAAATTCTCACTACATCTCCCACCTATAAAATAATTAAATGCAGTATTTCCTCAGGTTGCAGCATTAATTAATAATTATGCTGGATCCATTCAGATTAATACAGCGATTATTCAGTATTAGTCATGAACGCTGCCTCTCTAGCTTTGTGAGTTTGCTGCTCTCTAAGAGGTTTAGTGATATATGCTCTTTAAAGTTATGAACGCCTGCTCTCTTTGCAATGCGTGGGCGGATAAAGAGAGCAGAAAGAGGCAGAGGCGTGGTGGCAGGATGAAAAAGAGAGAATGAATACAAAAATAAGATTAAAAATTAATCTCACTTAAATTCTACAAACAAAAGTTTTCTTCGTCTCACTTAGTGTTCACAATTTTCTCATGATTTTTGAAAATTATTTTGGAGATAAAATTTCAGCGCGTTTAACGAGTTACATTATAATTGTAACGAAGTAAAAACCTCAATAATACTAGCAAACTAAAATAAAAACGAAGCATATATCCATAGATTTTTATTCTTATTGTCTTTTGAATTGTTCAATCTGATCATTTAAAAGTTGAACTGTGAAGTGTTGGTGAATTTCAGTTTAAAAACTAAGAATTCATTATTGACTGATCCTTTCCAGTTTATTTGAAAATTTTCTTATTTCTCGTAAATTTTTTGTTCGTGAATAATATTCTTCATTTGCTACATCTTCGTTTAATCAACATTAGAAGCATTGGACTCTACCAAAAATAATATTAAATTCTTATATAGTACCAGTAACAAGACGGCTTTGTTACTAAATTGTAGATGCCAGCAACGTAGATGTTTTAAAATGGTCATAAGTTATCTTATATGCTAGTTAAGTTATAAGTTATGAAGTAATGACAGAAGTGTACAGATACGCGCAGAGAGGCTAAATAACATTAAATTCTTATATAGTGCCAGTAACAAGATGGCTTTGTTACAGAATAAGTTATAGTTAAGTTATAAGTTATGAAGTAATGCGTACAAAAGTGTACATATACGCGCAGAGAGGCTAAATAACATTAAATTCTAATATAGTGCCAGTAACAAGATAACTTTGTTACAGAATAAGTTATAGTTAAGTTATAAGTTATGAAGTAATGTGTACAGAAGTGCACAGATACGCGCAGAGAGGCTCTCGATGCTCTCCCTGACCTACCCAAATAAAAATTAAGAGTGGAGCACCTATGTTTTTATGATGGCTATAGGCGGACGCCATAGGTGGAGCAGCTTTGATTTATACAGTGAATTAAGGGTGGCGTGCACCATCTTTACCATACCTTTGTGAGTTTGCTGCTCTCTATAAGAGGTTTAGTGATATATGCTCTTTAAAGTTATGAACGCCGGCTCTCTTTGTAATGCGTGGGCGGCTAAAGAGAGCAGAGAGAGGCAGAGGCGTGGTGGCAGGACGAAAAAGAGAAATGCAGACAAAATAAGATTAAATATTAATCTCACTTAAATTCTACAAACATAAGTTTTCTTTAGCTCATTTAGTGTTCCCAATTGGCTCACAATTTTTAAAAATTATTTTGGAGATAGAAGTAAAGCGCGGTTAACGAGTTTCATTATATTTTTAACGAAGAAAAAACCTCAATAATGCTAGCGAAGAGAAATAAAAATGAAACATTTATCGCTAGCTTATATTTTTGCTTGATGTCTGTCGAGTTGTTCAATATGTGCGTTTTCATACAGGTCGTATTTAATAGTTTGGAAGTTGTACAATGTAGTGTTGGTTAATTTCAGCTAAAAACTAGGAATTCATTAATTTGTGATACTTTCATGTTAATTTGCCATTTTTCTTATTTCCCGTAATTTTTTGTTCGTGAATAACATGCTTTATTTGATACATCTTTCTTTAGTCAATATTAGAAGCATTGGACTCAATAGTCAATATTAGAAGCATATTAGAAAAAAGGAACATTAAATTCTTATATAGTGCCAGTAACAAGACGGCTTTGTTACTAAATTGTAGATGCCAGCAACGTAGATGTTTTGAAATGGTGATAAGTTATCTTATGCTAGTTAAGTTATAAGTTATGAAGTAATGACAGGAGTTTACATATACGCGCCGAGAGGCTAAATAACATTAAATTCTTATATAGTGCCAGTAAAAAGATAACTTTGTTACAGAATAAGTTATAGTTAAGTTATAAGTTATCAAGTAAATAAATCAAGTAATGTGTACAGAAGTGCACAGATACGCGCAGAGAGGCTCTCGATGCTCTCCCTGACCTATCGATCTGGAGAAGCTGCTCCGCGAATAGGATTTGGCTGCGATCGAGTCTCAACTCTAAAACACGTGCCAAGTTAAAAAGTTAGTTTGCCGCATCGAAACTTCAATGATCCCAATTTAGATTCAAATATCTTATAAACCAATAGAGTCTTGTATCAATAACATCATGCCTTCAAAGACTTCAATTACCTGGGGAGTATTTCTTTAGTCTTTAAATTGGAAGTTAGTCTTCACTGACTCCGAATTTGGCAATAGAAATCAATATATTTCTTTTATTGATAGGATCTTGAGATGGAAAGTTTTTTGGGAGGAGGTAGGGCGGGATGGAGGTGGTCTCTTACGTCATCGTCTCTAAATACTGCACCTTGATTAATCGTCTCACTTCGCTCGTTAAAATCTAATCTAAAAAATTGAGATTCGCTCAACACTGAGTTAGAGATTTTTTACCTGAAACTTAAATGACAGAAATGTGCACATTGCTGTGTTGGGTCGTATATCAGTAATAAAAGGCAAATAATAGACTTCAACAAAAATAAAAAAGAAATTTTGCGTCTGAAATATCTCCGTGTCATCCAATATATCCATTAGGTGAGATTTTATATCGTGTTTAAACTGACTTGTTTAAAAACTCAAGGACTTATAAATATATCAATTAACGAAGCTGATTATTATAGAATTTTTACGCTGCTAATTCGGGGCAGATCAAAGTTATTTCTAGGCAGATTTAAATTCATCTCATGGTTTATTACTAGCGTTCCCTCCCTAGGCAGGGCAGATTAGGTCGATCTTCATTAAGATAATGAGATAATGGATTATATTTTGGTTACTCTGAGCTCTACCGAAGTTTAGTCTTCATCCCAGCTTGTATTAAATCAGCGAAATTTTCACGGAACCTCAGATGTATGAGTAAGGGAGGGTGAAATTTAATTTAATATTTTTAGCTTTTTATTTTGATTTTTGAAACGTGTACTTGAGCTGGTAATTTGATTAATTGTGTTGGATTTTACTCAATAGCCTCAAAAAATTAGTC